CGCTGATGAGTAGTAGCCCCTTGTCGCTCTACCATTCTGCGATCGCGGGCAGACAGGAAGAAAGAGCGGAGTGAGAACAGTGTTCTCCGGTGCGACGGATCCGGGATAGACCGGGCGAACTGGAGAACGATACGCGGTCGAAGGGAGGAGGGCCGAAGGGACGAGGTTTACGCGAGAAGAGCGGAACGAAGAGGAACGAGGAAGAGACGGACGAGTAGAAGAAATCGAGGCAGGAGAGCCAAGAGGAAGAAAAGGAACATCGAGTGAGAGTGCGAGGATAAGTACGAAGTTCTTAAGAAGAAGAAGAAGTAGTAGAAGAGGCTTATCAGCTTGTAAGAGAAGAACGAGAGAAAGGAAGAGAAGGCAGAAAAAGCTGTGGCGCGTGGTGGTAGTGACGGTGACCGGTGGTGGTGGCTGTGGCGGCGGTGGTGGTGGTTTCTGACGGTGGCGATGCAGTAAACGAACGTAGAACATAGCATCCAGATCTGTCGCGTGCTGCGTGCCGGTCTGGAACGGGACGGAAGAGACGCGGTTCACGCTCGCGATACACGAAGAGGACGGAACAGGACGAGGACGACGCGGACGATTTTCCTGACGATTTCGAAGGACGGTGACGGTGACGAGATCGGCAGCGAGACGGCTGACAACACAGCCAGACGACCAACTATATTAACAAAGTCGGCTCTTTCGGAGTTCCCGGAGAGCGCGGGATGGGATGGATGCTGCCGCGGCGGGCCCGTGTGAGTAGAACGACGAGTCGCGTCGTGTCTCCCGCTGGTGTGGTGTTGGTGGTTTCACTCTTGGCCTCCGCCACCGCCGCCAAGCCGCCGCCGTGGTGTGCGCTCGTGTGCCGCCGCCGCCGTCGCCGCCGCCGCCGCTGCTGCCGCTGCCGCTGCCGCCGCCGCCGCCGCCGCCGCGCCGGTTCGGTCTCTCTACGAGAGCGAACCGAGGAGCGTGCCCGAACCCGGCGAGTCGGGGAAGAGAACTGCGGCACTCGTTCAGTAGTTTCTCGGACGCCGCACCGGCACCATCCGACGACCCTGCGAGATAACCCCGCGCGTGGCCGCGACCCCCCCTGCGTGACAATTGCGTGCGTACGCGAAACCTGGCCGATCGCGACAGCCGCCCGATTTTTACCTCGTCGCGGCGAATTGGCGAACGAGCCCGTGTCTACTGCCGAACTGAAAGAAGATCGGTAATAGCAATCGGTATAGCGAACGACTTCTGTATCATTACACTTTCGTAGTAATCTTCGAAACGGTTCCCGGAGCACGTGTTGCATGGTGCATGTCTATGTCGGTCGCGACGCGGCAAATCGGTTTCATCTCTCGTCTTACCGATCTTTCTCGCCTTTGACTTTTTATCGCGCGAATTCGCGAAAGCTCGTAATAGGGGTACCACCACCGTAGACGTCGATCGAGGAAGGGCTCAATGTTTCTTCTTCGGATAATGATAACCAGTGGTGAAGTAGTGATAGTGCGTTACACGGAGATCTGTTCGTGCCGATCTTTCGCGAGGGGATTCTTCCGCGCGTAACTACGATTGCGAAAGAGAAAGAGAGAGAGAGAAAGATACAATAAGATTGAATAAAAAAGATCCGATAAAAAAGAAGGGAAGAAAAAAGAAGCATTGCGAGATAATGCTTGTCGGCTCATGCCGATTAATAATCGCAAAGAGAAAAAGAGACAAGGACCGAACGGTCGAGTCGTCGAAAGTAATCGATTAATCCTGCACATCGCGACGAAAGCACTTAAGTCCGATTGGCCTTACCGATCACTACCGTCATCGGGGAAACGACCGATCGAGCTCACTGCCAGGATCATTCGCAGTGTATCGAGTATCCTCGGCGATATCGGGCAGAGAGAACGCGGTCGATTTCCGCCGTGGAGAGCTCACGAGATTCACTCGGATCGGACCCGATGTCGTTCCGCGTAACGATCCCGTCGTTTCCCGTCTACAGCGAGTCGTTACTCCGGAATCCGGCGATCAGCTGATCCAACAGAGATAAGAAACCGCGAGGCTGTTACCGGGGAGGCGCGCGCGTTAACATCGCAACACCGGTACGATCGTCCAGCAGCCGCAAGAATGCGAGAGGACCGAAAGCGCGACGACGGTGCATGGATGATAACAGCGGACTGGCTGCAGCCGCATCCCTCGTTCCCAGCGGCCCACGTCGTCTCGAGGCACCCTCTCCGGAGGCGGAAGTGACTGGGAGTCGGCTAGTAATGCCAACTGGCAACGCGCGCGGCGACGACGACGACGAGCGCGGTTCGGGCCGATCGACGACGTTCCTCGCGGTCGTTCGAAAGCGCGACGAGAGGCGGAAGTAGAGAGTTCGCGAGGAAACGAACGAGAACGACGCTTATTACACGATTTGTCCTAAATTCAAACAGGAAACGGCTGTACCAACGCGGACAAGGGGGAGGCGGGCAAGGGAAGAAGCGTCGGATGAGACCGTCATGCCCGCTGAGATCGACACGGGCGGGCATAGGGTGCTGCACTGTGATTCCCGTGCCGACTGCCCGACTGCGACATCGATTCACGTGTCGACCTCCCCGAACGAGTCGCAGACGAGAAGAGCCCCGAAAGATCGACGAAGTCGAACTGGAAGTCGCGTGCAGAGACAGGTCGCGGAGGGGCCGTTAGACCGCAGTCGCGGAAACCCGCCATCCGATCGCGGCGAAAGTTCACCCACGAGGGTTCCGAGAATCGACGGCGAGGAGGAAACGATCCTAGGCGGACGTGACTTCCCGGCGAGGAGGAGTCGCGCGCTAACGCGGCCGTCGCATCGGCGACGCGGAGGAAGAGGAGGGGCGGCGACGAGAGGCGAAAACGAAGACGGCGACGGACACCTCGGGGCATGTTGCGTGCCGAGGCGGACTCCGCGCGCGATCGAGGATGTCACCAAGGACGAGCGTTTCTTGGCCACGTGGAGCACGCGGGAGGACGCGGGCGGCGTGATCGAGCGCGCGGGATCGCGCGGGCCGCGCCGCGAGACGACGGCACGGTATCGGCGCGCGAGCTGCGGCCACCCGATCGCGAAGCGTCGAAGTCTCCGTGATCGATCCTGGACGGAGCCGCGACCGTCGTTCTACGGGAGTAGAAGGGCTCGCGACGCGGATCCGATCGATCACCCGGGAAGATTAACGCGGCGCACCGCAGGTGGAGGTCCTCTTCTCTCTAGTCACCATTCGCGTACCACTCGCGCGAAGGACGAAGCCTACGAGGACGATATTAATGACGAGGATTTTTTCCGCGAGGGACACGGTAACGACAAAAACGGACGATTGGATCGCTCGGGACGACGTGACGAACGTCCGCAGGACGAGCGGATCGACAAGCTCGCGGATAGGAAGCGGATCAGATGCGCGTGTCGCGTTTACTCGTTCCTGAGGCTGGCTCTCGTCCTTTTCCTCGTCGCGTTCGGACAGCGATACGGACCGCTCGGTTCGTCCAGTGCGCGTAGAGTCAGTGCGAAACAGTTCGCGAATGGTTTAAGTGTTTTGGGGATCGGGTTTATCGGTGCAGTGAATGCGCGTCCGATCAAAGGTCCGAACAGCAATGCGACGAATTTGATCGAAGGTCTGAACGGCACCACGGCCAATCGGACCGAGAGATCAACCAGTGAAAATCTCTCTCACATGACCGGGACGGCGAGGGATGTACTACAGCTCTACATCAAGAATCGATATCTACAGATCCTGCCGGACGGTACGGTGAACGGTTCTGACGACAACACCTCGAATTACAGTGAGTACGCTTTCGTATTTCCTTATCACTTGACGAAGTTAATGAAATGATTGAAGGATGAACCATCTAAGAAGTTTACTTCACGTAAATCTAATATATTCTAAGTCGATTAAATTTAGTAATTAGATGCGAAATAACATTAATTCGCATTTAAATAATGCTAATTACTGTTAATTAAGCTTACTTCTTCGGAATTTATTAAATCTATATATAGATTTTAAAAAAATGTTAAATTGAAATGAGACCACGATAAGGCTTTATGTAACAGCAAACTATGTTACAAAGTTTGGATTAAATCCTAATCGGCATTAGAGCCGTGTATTACTAATTAAAGTTGTCTGACAGGTTTATTTTTCAACGCGCGTACATGTCGATTAAGCGACGTTGTCGAAATAGCGTCGAATTTATTTCAATCTCGAACTGGCGTTGTTCCTCTGCATTTTTAGACAGTTAATAATAAGTATACGTTTTAACGATATCTCAAATTAAATCACGTTTTTCTCGCGCACAATAAAACAAACTAAAGAACTATTATTGTTCTTTTAATTATAAATGGAAAAATCTATTCAACGAATGATTATATTCTTACAAAAACTAAATAATTTTCACGTATAAATTATTTCCAGTATATTCCATGAATTTAGAAATTAAAATTTAGAATTTAGATTATATACTTTTTAATATATAATCTGAAATTAGTTTACCGATGTAATAATTTATATATTATATTAAATTATGGCAACATTGTTCTTCTTATTATATATTTACGACCAGTGTAATTATAAAATATCTTAAATATAACTCTCTTTTTGCATCTTTTTACTTTTTATTTATAGCGATTTAAGACGATGTACGCGATAAGAGGAACATTCGAATTTTGTTTTATCTCTTTGCCGTTCAAATCATCAATTTAATCCGATTCGATTAATGTTTCTAAAATTTAGCGGTTGCAGATTTTTAATCTGATAATCTTATCGTACCCGAGCCGACACGTGCCGCCTATAATTAATGAATGTATAATCGAATCATTACCCTTGAACCGTGTCGAGTTTCTTAAACGAAGCTAATTATATACATTGGGTGTCCATTCACGAAATCCATCTGATACTGAGGGACTCTTCGAGTGTCGGATCGCGTGTGATTTCGACACTTCATTCAGAACGAAAATTTCGCAAAATCAGCGTGACTGGCCGAGCAATCGATTTGAGGTCAGCTGCCGCCGCTGCAACTCGATATCAGGTTTCGAATTGTCTATTCGATAAGCAGCGTTCCGATCACTGGCTCCGGAGAACGGAGCTGATAGAGCTGCATCGCTGCGTCGCGATATTGCTAACACTATGCGGATGATTGCACAAACGTCTAATTCGTGCAACGTGCAAACATTCCCGTTTCACGTATAATATTAGAAGTTGTAAAGACAATTTTCGGATTCTGATCAAAAAGTTGTTAAATTAATATCCCTTTCAACAGTATTCCCTTTTTTTTTTTCACTCATTATTTCTATTACGCGATAATTTTGTGGACACAGAAAATTGATTAAATTACATTTCGATTAGATGTTGGTCGAGTCGACCGAAAGATATTACAATAAAATGTTTTATTATAATAAAACGTAAAAAATTGTTGAGAGAATTAAGAATGTCTACTGAATCGAGAAGAGAGCCGCGATCCGAGAATCTGATTACTTCTCGTAACTAGACCGCGCTGACCTTTGCCGAAACTTTAATCGCGCGTTTGGCCGCTAGAAAGTGTGATCCTATTTGCATTCCCCTGAATACATTTGTCCACAAACGACGAAATCCGGGTTAACCAAGGACACACTCTATAACCAACCAAAAGTTTAACTAAACTCCAACTAAAATCTAATTAACCTTCGATAGAACTGTCGTTCCATTTAAAGTTAAATCACACTCCGTGTGCTGCTAAAGATATCGTACCGATTTAATTATAATATAAAATTATATTTATATATATACCAAGAAAGTAAATATAAATTCAATTAACTTGGCGTAAATCTATCTATATAGCTATATACAAATATCTCTCTCAAATTCCGAAAAAGAGAAAGAAGAAATGAAAAAAACACATTTTGAATTCAAACACATATTGAATTTACCTTGATAATGATCGCGTTATTATTGGAATATTTTCAGAGCTATTATTTTTAAGTAAACGACACAAAAAACTTGAAAACATTCGAATAAAAATGCTTAATGCTTACATAACAATGACATTAAGTTTGAATAGGTCTGCGAATAGTCTAACGGTAACGGAACGAACGCACAACTTTAAATGCGCAAGTAATATGAATAATATGAATGTGACGAATGATTACCCATGATATATTATACCATAAGAACTTGCTCTCGTAGAACCGGTATTACAATAACGAAACCAAGGCATGTGGCCATTAATTGAGTGCAAAATTAGTGAGTAGGTATTAATTACAGTCTTAGTGACAAGTCCTTTTTTGCAAAAAAATTATAATAAATATCTCAACATTTCCCGATATTTAATATCTGACCCAGAGATGCAGTTTGGAAATTCCGTTGCGAATAGGACGAAATAATTTCGAGAGGATCAATTAGAGAGCGTATCTAAGAAACGGTGCGGCATTTCTTTTGTGATGAATAGAAAAAAGCAATTCCGCCATGAGATACCATTGCACCCCAAATATATCTCAGGAATAACCGCAATTTGCAAAATGACATTAATTATCGATCGCACCACGGGGCACAATTCACGTTTTTATTGTTGTAACAATGAAATGTTAAGATCAATCCGAATTTTTATGAGGTATGCAAATTCCAACATGTTTCCCAGCAGAATGCCACGCAGCGTTGAGCTTAGTATAAATAAATACGGCGCGTTTTCGACCACCTTAATTATTCGCTCGCGCGCGATTCTGATTTACATAAATCACGCAACCGGTGTTATGAGCCAAGTCTAACAGGCACCCCGTTCCGCCGGCATCGTTCGTACGCTCGCACTGAGGGAGGAAGGGAGGGGGGAGGGAATCAATGAACCGCCGCACGTCCACTATTCGCCGCGCCTAATTGCTTTCTTTGCGTAATGCGTGCCCTACGTGAGCCGCGCAAATACGGCGTGCGCTCGCGTGGCCGCGGGATGAGGACGATGAGTGGCAGCCGGTGCGTTTAGTCCGGTGGCTTGGAAGTCACCCAAACGCTGCCGATGCCCGCTGACGAGGACGACGACGACGACGACGACGACGGCGGCGGCGGACGTCGCGCGGTAATAGCGCGACTACTTCAATCTCAGGGGCTCGGATAATTGGAGTTAAACATTCCGTGCACTCGCGCCGCGACGTCAGGCTAACCGCCCCGGCGGATCAATCATCGAGGAATTCAACCGGCGGAATCTCGTTTCTGGATATACGCGTTCGTCTTCCTTAGCAGGAGAACTTCACCTAGGAATGTTAACGCGCCCCGCGGGTCGATAGCATCGCGCGCGCCGCGATCGCCGACGAGAGCGGGAGTGCGCGCGAGGGGCTTGGCGGACGATTTTCTCGTTCACGGATTTCTATGACATCGGTGTATTTTTCGATGGTAACACGGACGACTGTTGACTGCAGCCCGTTCGATGGAACGTAAAACAGTTGAAAAATGAATATTCATCGACAGCTGTCGATGAATAATCAAGAAGACGGTAAAAACGAGACGAGTGGGTGTGTCAATCGAAAAAAAATAGCGGTATAGCATTGGAAAGATGTTTCTATTTGATTCCTTTTTAGAGAACTGTGTGAAAACAGCAACGTATAAATACGACGACGCGATGGACCGGTCAGAAATTCTCTAGTACGCGTAAAAAAAATATATATATATATATACTGTCTCTTATACACATCT